TTGATAGACAGATGTGGCATATGTGCTGTTGTTGGCGTCGATATGTACATCCAGAAAATTGATGGTTTTGTCAGTGGCTATTTCGTGGGTGAATTTAAGCACAAAGTTGTCCTGTAGGTTTTGTCGGAGCTTTATTAATTCATCAGTGTCCTTGGTAACGATGAAGCAGTCGTCGACGTATCTGCAGTACATATACATATTTTCACACTAGCAACCACATTACCGTCCATACCCATTAACTGTAGAATATGCCATAAGTATATTGATGAATTTCTTGGAGAAGAGAACAGGGTACATTACCCCATTAAGGCTAATTATCAGTTGCTAGCTAAATGTATGATGAATACCTTAATGGCTGACTGGAGAATTATAAGCAGTTTTTATACTTTAGACTTACCGCTGGGCCAATAAAAGACAACATAAAAGCAAATTTGTATGCAACAAACTCCGTAAGAAGGGCTTGCGATTCCTTCGGTCACAGAACAATTCAATTCATAGCGTACTATTGGATTCTCCAGCAGAAAAACTCACTTTTTTTCTGAAACATCACAATGATTCTCCACTAGGAAGACTCACTTCGAAATTATGCATTAAACTCACTTAACCAAAGTTTTAGAGGTTTTATTAAAAAGTTAATTTCGTTGATAATAATAAATGTACAAAATTAATGTACATTAATAAATAGGAAAGAAGTACCATTTCTCCATTAAGGAGAAATTTAGGGAAAAATATTAGAAAATAAGGTCCTAAATACAGAACTACTGTTACCCTTAGTGATTAAGAAAAGATTAGAAATGCGTATATGCTGTTCTTTTGTTCTCTGATTAGCTTTGGATAGGATGGGCAGTTTGAAAGGTAAGTTGAAGTAAAGAATATTGTTCTTTATCATAACGGTAAAGTAGATTGTTATTAGTTTGAATATGGCTCTTGTAATGACTAACGACAGAACTGTGTATCTTTCTGTCTTACTTTTCAATTCTTTTAATTTAAAGTTAATTAACTTAATGATATAAAACTTTTCATTTTTGTTGTTATGAAGTGTTTCTGAGAAACTTTATAGCCTGGATAGAGTAGCTGTTCAGGCTGTTCTAGATTTTCTTAGGACTCAGGCCAAGTCGTTTAAGGTGGTCATTTAGAGAAAATCACCATTCTCTGTTGAATAAATAGTGATTTCCTATATTTTAAAACGCTTAATTTACTATTTGGATTTCTAATCATTGTACACATATTAAGATAAATTAAAATTGTGCAATTTGATATATAAAGGTACTTGTGTTAGAGTCGGGTGTGACCTACAGTGGTTAGCATGCCAGAATGCATATGCTAAAGTTTGCAACGCGATGCTGCTGAACAAACACTGCACTTTCAGCTGTGGGTGCATTATAAGAGTAGCAATCAATCCTGTTATTCGGTTCAGAGCTGTAAAAAACCCTTCTGGTAGTTGGAGCTGTCGACTTATGGTTGTCTTCAAAATGATGGACGACTATATCTGAAACCTACATTCTGATCTGGCCATTTATTTCTTGTGTCGCTTAAGTTATTCAGGTTAAAATTCAATACAACCTGTTATGCGTCTGAATTAATCCAAAGTTCGTCTTTAAATTTCATTTTGAATATCACACTGCTAGATTCTTAGCCTCTTGTTTATTAAGTCTTATATTGCTGGATCTTTAGTCTCTGGTAAGTTGATAGTGATTCCTGTGTTACTAGGAGTGTCATATAAATCAATTTAAGACTGTTTTTCTCCCAGTAGACAAGTACCATTCCTTTGCATCTTACTTAAATTCAGTAGAAAATATTTGGAGATTCAATTACACAGTATAACCACACAGGAAAATGTGTTGCTTCAGAACAGAATGGGGTAAGGGCAGGATTTCGAAAAAAAAACAACAACAGAAAACAGGGAAATGTTTTGGAAATGTTAATTAAAAAACTAAAAAAAAACATTAAATGAAAACGAGAAGTAACTTAGAGAGAGGTGATCTACTTAAGTAAATGGAAATAACTTCAAATAAGGAAAAAGTAATAATTAACAAACCGTTTTTTCTCTTCAAACAAAGAATACAGTGCCGCGAGAGATGTGGAGACCAAGTTGGGCATGAGTCGAGGATGTGGACACGAGCTTACTGGACCATGAACACTGCAGAAGGAAATAAAGTAATGGTTTAATATACATACTTCACTTGTAACTTGTTTGTGTATTTTTGGTTCATTATTTTTGTTTGAAAGATATTAAGATCTAACGGAAAACACGAAGTGGTGATGAACCAATATAGATGTCCTTTTTGAAATCGGAGTAGCTGTGCATTAAAAATGTTTGAATATCCATTTAAAATGTCTGAACATCCATTTAAAATGTCTGAACATTTTAATAAGCATACAAGTGTCCAAATTTGAATTCTCAAAATATTATTTTGTTCTTTGCTTGCTTTTTTTTTTGTGAATGAACGTTTGTTTATTATATTTTTGTCCAAACACTCCGCTGTGATTTAACGGGTAGCAACGAATCTAATAAAGGAAGATGGTCACAGGCTAAAGCAGGAATAATTTTATTACGAAGGAGTTGATTAGTTTCGCATCTTCAGTGGAAAAGGTAATCGCGGTTCTATAAAACAAAATGGGAAAACTAAACTTATCCAAAGAAAAGTAAAATAAATATGAATGATAGCTAAAAATAATTTCATTTATGAATTAAAAATGTCAATTATACAAAGAATGTAATACAACTTATTAGTAACAATTACCAATTTTAGATTTAGCAGGTCTTGGGTTCATCTACCCTTATAGTTCTGTATTGTTAAAATTTCAGAAAATGTTAACATTAATGGGGGGGATATTTTATATAATATATTGAAGATCATATGTCTTTAAATAAATAAATATATACATACATGCAGAGAAATGTATCAGGGATATGTACTTAAGAAATATAAGCTTAATGGGAAAACTGGATAACACAAGCATTATTACATCACAATAAGATTAACAATAATTTTTAACATATCATTTTTTTACTGACGCTATACGAATTTCCAGTAAGGAGAACATAGCATTTCGGTCGCACACCTTGTCTTCTCTGATTAAGTTCAAAAATATTCTACACGTTCTGAATAGCTTTAAAAGCATCCCAGAATGTGTTTATTAACAATATACTGTATGACTTATGTCATGCTCGAATGATAAAGGTACTGCTAAATTTTCTTTACATGAATACCCCTGGACAGGACTGGTTATGACTGTCTCTTATTTCTTCTAATATCGTTATGTTTTTATTAAATTCCAAGAAACTCGTTCTTAGAAAATATATACATATGCACATACATAATAAACAGGATTTGGTATTAGTTAAATATGTTTTTTCTAGCTTCAATATGACATTGATATCACTAAATTCGAAACATTTAAAATAATTTGTATAAGATATTTACGTTAAAATAACCTGCAGTCAGTTCTATCAATACATACCTAAAAGTTTAATTGTTTACAAAACTATTTTAAAAAACAGGTCACTTATATAATTCTAATGAAAGGTTTAGAATGAGAGGTAATCATAACGCGGTCCTGTTAGGGATATCCTGTAGGGAAAAATTTTCGGTATCTTTCTCTTCCTAGCTAATGTCGTCATGAGACCCATCAATTAAAAATAGCTTGAAACTGGAAACGCATTCAAAGAAATAAAAATCCATAAGAGAAATATGCTGGGAAATACTAGAATATTCTGCAAAATAGGTTGTATGTGATCGAGGGAGTATTTACATTTATTTTAAAATGTTGTTCAAATCTAGGCATTGAAAAATTTCATTACAATGCGAAAAATGAAAATACGGGACACGTAAACAGCCATATTATCACATAACATAGTAATGGATTTTTTATAAAGGACTTTTGCACAGATTCAATAGCACACTACATCGTTAGTCTGCCCAATATACACACACTGGCCAATTGGTTTGGTTTTTATTAATTTCACGCAAAGCTACACGAGGGCTATCTGCGCTAGCCGTCCCTACTTTAAAAGTGTAAGACAGATAGTCCTTTGTGTAGGTTTGCGCTTAACAATAAACAATAAATCTGTATTCTGAGAACTTATGAGTGAAAGCAAAGTAAAAATATATATTAATATTTCAACCACACTATACCTGCCATATCCAGCGCTCGCCTTTTCCCCAATACCAGGGCTCATTAGGCTGGCTGGGATACAACAAAATAATTGTGGTTTAAGCACTATTTATATCATCAATCACATGAGCCAGATTAAATAAATGAAGTGTAATTATTTCTGATTTTATTTAAGTCACTTACAAGTCAAAATTACGGTAAATTATTATTTAATGGCTAGAACTAATCTGCTTTTACTATAAGCCGAGTTCAAACCGTTGCAGGTGTATCTCATAAAATCATAAATTTTTAAAATTAAATATATATGTGTGTGTATATATGAATAAACAATGCATTTGAGAGTAATTGTAAATCTGATAAAAACAGAATTACCTTATAAGTAAAGAATATTGTTACGACAGCGGAAATCATGTGACACTGGTAACACGTAATGAGTATCTCGAACGTTCCTGAAGGCTCGAGTGTTTGCTAGACGTTCTCTATTTTGTATATATAATTGCAGACAAGCAGAGATAGAGACCTACAATCGAGTCAAGCCGTAAGTAAAGTGTGTAAATCATTGTGAATTATAGCGGGAATAATTTTTACGGGAAATTAACAAACGACCAGAGACGTAACAATATTTTAGTTTTTTAGTATATATATTGAGAATGCTTGTTCGTTTTGTTTGAACGTAAACCTGCAGAATAAACTATCTGTGCTGTGCCAACCGCAGGGAACGAACCCTGAATTTTAACTTTATAAGCCCTAAAACTTACCCCTGAGCTACCGGTAAGCATATATTTAGAAACATATATACTGGATATAATTGCAGTTTCTTTCAATACATAATAGACATACGTTAAAAAAAGCGTCTCGCTCAACGTGACACTTTTATTTTTGCTACTTCTTCCCTATCGGGTTTTCCACATTTTAAAAAAAGCTAAAAATATGGGTGGTGTTAGGAGACTCCTTTGTAGTGCTCGAGACTTTTCCTATTGTGTGATTGATCAGTTTTCTTATATGACAACGTAGACAGACACAAAATATTTTGAAAAAGCTTTTTAAAGCAGGTGTTTATATGCATAACTTCAAAATTGCACATATATATAAATTTAGCTAATCTTATATTCAAAGAAGTGCAATTAAAATCGTTACTTTATTTTCATTCATAATAAATGGATAGTGAGTTTATTTACTGTTATGCTACTATAGTTCTCTCTTTTATATACAAAAGATTTTAAAGTAATTTTTAAGCATACCGATAAATGTATATATCATCGACGTGAAAATAATGAAACCACAAACCTTCGAACAAAATCTTTAACAGCATTAATACCGTCATTTTTCTCATTTATGGCCTGGATGTATGATTGGACAAGAAGTCGACTATTTGGATGCTTTCCAAAATCCTGGAAAGTAATAAATAGGAAGTTTCATAAAAAAATACAGATTTTTTTAAATTATCTTTTTCAAACAAAAGCATGACATCAAGTAATTTTTACGTATATGTAAGAGAAAGGTTACAAAATAACACAGTGTGCTCTTTAAACAAATAGTTTGAACAATAGCACTGAAACAGGATACAATGCCAATAAATTTTCTGAGATCATGATTTAGGTTAAATTTTATTTTAACGTTGGCTGATTGGCAATAACGGTTAAGGCCAAATAATTTAATACAGAGATAAAAGTATTTTACAGTATGAAAATAATTTTACATTCTATTAGACTTTTTTAAAAACTTTATAATAACCATAAAAGAAGTTAACAAATTTCTCTGTTTTTAGTATATGATAAAAAGTTTGAGAGCAATACAAGCTAATACAATATTCTGATGAAACATAAGCCTAAGAACGATGGGTTCCATTTTTATTTTCTTGCTTACATTTTTCAGTTGCCCCTTTTATTTATTAGGTTTCTGGGAGAATCAATTCTTATTCAGTTTGTTGTTATTTTAGGTACTTTTTAAACAGGACCGTATTACTAAAGTCATTAGGCTTTTAATAACCTTGCATACAGATAGCAATATTATTTAGCTTAAACATCTGAACAAAACTAACCGCAATGCATTATAGGATGTTTCGTCTTAGGCCTCAGTAACTACTGCCTTTAAAAGGGTGAATGATAAAAGCTTTCGCAACAGTTCATGTGTACAGAGAACGCCGACATCATACATCAAGTTAAAACTCAATATCATAACTTGCAGATGTCTCGTTTGTTTTAAATCTGTTTCTGCAGATACATACCATAGTGTGCTTAAGTATTCGTTGGATAATAGGTGGCAGCACTTCCACGATGACGTAAGAACGGGGACTTTCTTTGCAGTGCTATAAAGACAAAAGAGCTCAATTAAAATTTTAAAATAAAACTTTCAACACATACAGATATATATGTAATGGTTTTCTCTTTACCGCATTTTATTAACTTATTAAGTTATGATAAACAAACAAGAAAAATAATTTGGCATATTTTTTTATGCATGATATATTCTAGGAGTTGTATCCGTAATGAGTGACTGCCCCGGGAAACAGTTTCTTTATAGTCTGACGACGTTGCGGAAATTTTCCGGAAGAAATAAGACGAAAGACTTCCGAAACGTCATCAGATAGTAATGAAACTTTTCCAAAACACTCAGTTATGCATATATTATAATATTCTTGTATCTCAAATTACAGTAAAGGATTAAATTTTCATGTGTTACTCTTTCAACAATAAAGTTTGAAGCTTAAAGTGACAGCCATGCTGAAAATAATCTTTCATAACAGAAGCATTACAGATACTTATGTATATATTTTATGCACGTGTATACGTGTTACAGGGCAATAGACACGACGAAAGATAAAACTGAAATTATTATAAATAAGTATTTCGTTATACTTTGATGAGCTGAACATAAAACACAACCATAAAAATCAGTTTCATAATATGTCATTAATTCTTCTTCTTTCAAACGTATTCAGCATTAATAATTCATAAACATCATTGCATATGTGTAACCTAGTATTTACTATCTAGCTCAGTGTAAATAAAGTAGGTTACGACGGTAAGTGAAAATTTTCACCCTCTTTTTGGCTCCATATTCAATTACAATTTATACAAGTCAAAAACAAAATTCATTTACACAAATTGCGTTGTTTGTTATCAAGTCTGGTTTGCAAATGCACATGTTTCTTCTTCATAACATCAAAAAGTGTAGAACAAATTAACGGGATTAATAAACCCCACTGCTGCTCAGATTACCACTTATCTAAGCAGTAATCGTAAACATATGTCTTAAAAATGTGCGCACGTGTTTGTTTTGAGAATATTTATGACTTCGTGGAGAGCCGCTAGATGACACTTTAGTGATCACAACACCTAGAGAAATAAATTTTAAAAAGATTTCTCCAAACACAATTTTTTTTGTAAACGTTTTTTACCATATATATATGTATATGTGTGTGTGTGTGTGACTTTCACTTATGATATCAAGCACGCAGGTTTTCATTTGAGTTTGAAAAACAATTATTTGTGACGATCGTTAGTAACATCGTCGTATACAGGCATTTTACAGTTTGAATAGGTATAAGTTTTATGAGTTGAATTAAATTGATTCGTGTACATGCAGTTAAAGAGTATTGTAGGTCAGGACTTCTTATTCAAACGTACAGGAAGTTACGTTTTGAACCCAGTTAATGTTAAGTTCAGTCTACGGTCAAAATCCGTTTATAGTTTCAAAGGTTTGTTATTGTGGTTATGAAGTTACTATGTAAAACATACATTCTGCCAGCATCAGTGTGGTATACCGTGTTGGTTACACAAATAGCACCATTTCAATACCTGTAACTTTAAACATGTGTGGAGGGTATTCGTACTTCAAAACAACATCAAAAAGAATTCCAACATTTGAAGATGGAAGTTGCCCTAAGAGTTGTGTGTCAAAATTATATTCACAAAACACTCTTTAATGAAAGGAAAGTCTGTATGTCAAGAATTTTTTTTTTTATACGAACAGTAATGTTTACCCCACAAAAAGGACTTTCGTTCTGTTTTACATCAAAAATGCATTTCTTAAACATTGTTTTTACTAGACTTTAACATTAGATTACTGCATGTATAACAACAGTTTCCAGATCATAGTTTAATGTGTTGCTACACAAACGTGCTCCATACTATGAGGCCATACATGTGCCATAAGAGTGACAATCACTAATCAGTCAGACAAGAGGAGACCAAGAGTTGGCGATTAGTGCTATTAACTTTTTACCTTCCTTCTATTCCATTCAGAATTCAGGACGGCTATGCGCAGAAAGCCCTTGAGTGGTATTGCGCGAAATTCTGAAACTAACAACGGGTAAGTAAACATTATTTATAATTTATATTTTAGTTAGTTGTTAATGAATCAGTGGCAAGCCTTTTCTGTTAGTTTATATAATGTAGAGATTAACAGATAAATATCTAATACCTGGAAAAACTGATATACCCTGTAAAAGTTCCGGTTAGCTCTGTTTCATAACGCCTAGAGCTTTTATTTATATTTTTGCTAATGTTTATGCTTATGTAATTTGATCACAATTTTAATAATATTATTTTTTTAAGATTTCAACTATTAGTATACTGTGAGGGAAATTGTTTCGCATTGAAAATTTTACAGGGAGTGGTTTTTTTTTATGTATAAACAACACCATTTTCACCTCAGATAGTACTTTCGTACAATGCGTCCCTGTGGCTCAGCGATAAACCTGAAGGTTTCTAAGGTCAAAAATCGGGTTTTGATACCAACCATTGTGTAGCTTCATGCTTAAATGCAAACAAACAATTACACTTCACATGGCTTTAGTATTTACTTTTGTCATTCATTACACTTCCCATGGCTTTAGTATTTATTGTTGTCGTTCATTACACTTCACATGGTTTTAGTATTTACTGTTGTCGTTCATTACACTTCACATGGCTTTAGTATTTACTATTGTCGTTCATTACACTTCCCATGGCTTTAGTATTTACTATTGTCGTACATTACACTTCCCATGGCTTTAGTATTTACTGTTGTCGTTCATTACACTTCACATGGTTTTAGTATTTACTGTTGTCGTTCATTACACTTCACATGGCTTTAGTATTTACTATTGTCGTACATTACACTTCACATGGCTTTAGTATTTACTATTGTCGTTCATTACACTTCCAATACAAAGCCAGACCGTTTATTTGTTCAAGAAACATATTTTTTCACGGATAATGTTTTCTTACCCGACAGAGGAAGTCACAGATTTCAGCAGATGCACTAATTCGTTCCAATAAAGGTGCTATGATGCTGATCACAGTTTCTCTTGAAGAACATGTTTTCCAGCTTTGTTCCTGAAAGAGCAAGGGCAGTTTATTTTCTTGAATTATTTTCATGTTAGACGCTACTAGAAGTTTAAACCTAAGACTTTTAGTTTTCTTTCTCTCTATTCATATCAGCTTTTGATCAAAACAAACTACCTACTAGATCATAAAATATAAGTTCGGTAAAAATATACCGTTCTTACGTTCTTATTTATAGTGAGATTGAAACTACCTTTTGTTACATGTAAGTCAGAAAATATTGGTTTTATAAATTCATTATGAGTTTAAAACTAACAACGTGTATTTCTTTACAATACTAGTTCGGTTTTTTCTCATGTGTTAGTGGCAAAAGACAACTACAGATTCAGTTACTTTTTTTTTCTTTAACACACACACACCTCTCTTCATTTAAATACACGTATATTTTGGGTCTAGATGAACAAACAAAATATAAGCATCTAGGTGTTCCTGTAATCAACCAGAAGCACAACTCACAAAATAAGTTTTTAGATCGTTTATGTAACCACTAATGGCGTCGATACTCCAGGCAGCGCCACAAATACTAAGATAAGCATTATGGACGTTTTTCATGTACATAAACAAAAAACTGGACACGATGAAAATTACACCAACATATCAATATTATTGTTACACGCATATATTGATATTATTACACCATCATCCTTAGTTCGACAGAAATTAGATTCGCCTTGAATTTGCATTATTATGATTGATGATTAATAGTATCAATATATTAACTGCAAAACACAAATATTTACATTTATAGATATATGGAAATTAAATATTACCTTTGTCACAATATTTGAAATAATATCAAGTGGGATCTGAAAAATATTTTCACCTTGGAGTGGTGTGGACAAAGCAAGATCAACAAGACTCTGTAAAAAGAAGAAAAGGCTCATATATATATATATATATATATATATATATATACTATTTA